GGGGGGCTGTAGGGCACCCTGGGGGCACAGGGAGCTCTGGGGGCACTGGGGGGGCTGTAGGGCACCCTGGGGCAGGGGTGCCGGGGTCTCACCGCATCCCTCCTCGTCGGAGCTGTCGCGGCAGTCGGGCCGGCGGTCGCAGCGATACTCCCTGTCCACGCACTCCCCGCTGCCACAGCGGAACTCCAGCGAGGTGCAGGCCCGGGGCTGGGGGGTCACTGTGGGCAGGGGGGGGTCACACCCTCAGGGGACACCCCAAAACACCCACCCAGCACCCCGAAGTGGGCGGGGAGTCCAGACACGGTATGTGGGACCCCGGGGTGGGATGTGGGGTGGGGAGCTCTGAGCCCTCCGGCCCCAGATCCCCCCAAAACCCCTCTGGGGGACCCTAAAAGGCCCTGAGCCTCCCCATACCAAACGGGGGATGGGTGTTCAGACACCCCAGTACGTGAGACCCCAGGGTGTGGGTGGGATGGGGAGCTCTGAGCCCCTCTGCCCCATAGACACCCCCAGATGCCTCTGAGGCACCCCAACTCCCCCCGGGTGCCCCCCAGCCCCTTTCCCAGTCTCACCAGTGCCCAGGCGGCGGAACTGGAAGCCGTGGGGGGAGGTGACGTAGGAGGCGATGGATCCCCCGGCCAGGAGGTCCCGCAGGACCCCCCCCAGCTGGGCCTCGTCCCCGTTCCCCTCCGAGCCCACGTCCAGCTCCACGAACACATCCCCATCCAGCTGCCTGGGGGGAGAGGGGGGTCAGCACCCCAAACCAGCCACACTGCACCCCAAACCAGCCTTGAACCCCCAAAGGGTCCTCACTGCACCCCAAAACATCCCCATCACCTCCAATCCACCCCATCCCCTCCAAGCCTCCCTGCCATCCCCAAAAACTCCCTGCACTCACAAAAGCTCCTCATTGCAACCCAAAACCTCCTCAGTGTGCCCCAAAACTTCCCCATCACCTCCAATCCACTCCCTCACCTCCAAATGGTTCCATCACCCCAAAAGCTCCCTGCACTCCCAAAACCTCCTCATTGCACCCCAAAAGCTCCTCATTGCTCCCCAAAACCTCCTCATTGTGTCCCAAAACATCCCCCTCACCTCCAAACCTTTCCATCACCCCCCAAACCTCCCTGCACTCGCAAAAGCTTCTCATTGTGCCCCAAAATATTCCCATCACCTCTAATCCATCCCATCACTTCCAAACCTGCCCACCTCCTGAAAACCTCCCTGTACTCCCAAAAGTTCCTCATTGCACCCCAAACCCTCCTCATCGCACCCCAAAA